GAAGGACCTAATTTGTATCAAGATTTTAGAAAATCCTTTTTAAGATTCTAAAGGTAGATATAAAGTTATCTTTAGCCTTTTATCCTCAAATTAATAGATAAAGAGAGTGTATTAATCAAGTTTTGGAGTAATATTTGAAGTATACCATCAATTATTAATAAGATGATTAGATGATTCTTTTGCCATACGTAGAGTTTTCCTATAATAATATAGTATATTCTTTTATTTACTAAATAAATTTTTTTATTCATTAAGATTATCATCCATGATTTAATGCTTTTGAATTTTCAAGAGTTGATAATTGTGTAGCAAAAGATTTGACAAATCATTTGTTACAACTATATACAACAATGAAGGCACAATTAAAAGAAGTTCAAGAATGATAAAAAATAAATGCACATTCCTATCAAAAAGAATAACCACAATTCAATATAAGTAATAAGGTATGATTACTTAGTTATAATATCAAGTCTACTTGCTATTGTGACAAGTTGGACTATCGTTAGCTTAGACCTTTTCTTATTTGTAAATAAATCAATTCAATTGCTTATCGATTACATCTATTAGAATCAATGAAGATCTATTCTATATTCCATGTATTTCTTTTTGAACCATAGAAGATAATGAACATATCAAGAAAAAAATAAGCACCACTTCTTCCTATAGAAGTAGACAATAATAAAGAATTTGAGGTAGAAGAAGTCTTAGACTCAAAGTGGCACCAAAATAGGTTAGAATATTTTATTCATTGACATGGATATAATATTAGTAAATATACATGGAAATTAGCAAATAATCTTATAAATACATCAAAGAAGGTAGAAGCTTTTTATCAATAACATCTATCAAAATCTAGGTTAAAAATAACAAATCTTTACTATAAAAAAATCAAGAGAAGATAATATTCTATATTTTATCCTTATTTGTAGCTTCTATAGATATTATGGCACTAAAGAGATGTAGAACCAATAATCAATAGATTCTATTCAAGAGCTATCGTTTGGTAATTTGTCAGATGAAATATTATAATTATTTCAACCTTTAAGACAACGTAATCAAGATGAAGATCCTTAAAAATAACATGTTATTCCTTGAATAGATAGTAATATATAACTTATTTGATATTACAACCTTTGAAGAGACTCTCTATATTTCATGATTTCATTAGAGGTAAAAATAATTTGTGATGGTATTCCAAATATTTTATTTAAAAGAAGTTATGAAGGCCTCAACAAAGATCAAATAATAGAGTGGTCTTTCTTGCCTTGATATGAAACATTATCAATAACTAAGAAGACCTATCAACCATCATTGAAGAGAAGAAAGATCAAAGCAAATATAATTCATTTCATCTTAAATTTCTTCAATATATGATAATTTTCCCTTATGGAATTTATTCCTAAAAGGAGGAATAATATCAAAAATATACATATTTATTCTAGTAATTACCTATATGATTAAATAGAAGTAGATAAAAGTAGATAAAAATACATTAATTTCATAATATCTTCTAAAAAAAACTTCTTAGAAGCTTTATAGACATGATTTTAACTTTAAACATGTTTATAGTTGATTTTTAGATTAGAAACTTATTCAATAAATTAGCCACATGGCACACATATGGATAGCTTTTAAAATAAGTTAATTATGTAGTACACAAATAGAAACTTGTAAGTTTAGACATGTGGCTTGTAAAGTCAACACATATTAGAAGTCTTATAGAACATCGCCACGTAGTTCTTAGGTAGATAGTATATTTAAAGGCAAGAGTAAAGCCTTCTTCATTCTTATTAATTCTTTTCTTACTCTAATCTAGATTCAAGAGGCTTTAGTTTTCTTCTCTTTTGATAATAGCCATTCCAATTTCTATTTAATATATATGTTTCTTTACTTCTATTTTATCATACTTATTTGAAATAAGTTTTATTTGATTATTTGATTTAATCAGATTCTTGTCCTTGACATGTAGTCTTGTTGTAACTTAAGATCATCTGCAGCAATATGCTACACTAAAACTCTACATTAGATTATAATACAATCTAGAATATATTATACTATGATTTGAATTTCAATTCCAAAATCTATGAATTACTTTGGATGTTGCTTTTTATCTTCAAACTAATTTCTAACTTCTCATTTAAGCCTTAAATGCAGTTCAAATTCTAAAAAAAATAAAAATAAAAATAAAATAAAATAAAATCATGGATCTTTTTTTTAAAGCATTTGAAATTCACTCCCAATTATTATTTATTATGCACTTGCCTCATGCCTCTACACAAGATCAACTTTAGAATAAAGAAAGTCGTCCTCTCAATAGCTCTTTTGCTATGTTTTTGTAGCATTTCTATAGGCATCAAGATTACTTTAGCTTAACTTACCTCTTCTATTTCATCAAGGATTTCTTCAAAAAAGTAAGCAAATGAGAGGGTCGACTTTTTTTACCCTTATAGTTAGTTATGTGTTATACATATTAGTAGCTTGTAATATAAGTTAATCATGTGGCATATACATAGATTTTTTTTTTTTTTTTTTTTTTTTTTTTTTGCAAGTTAAACTTGTATTATGTAAGTTAGATATATATTGGAGGTCCTATTGAGTATTGCTATTGAATTCTTAATTAGATGGTATATATAGAGGCAAAAGTGAGGCTTTCTTATTTTTATTTATCATCTATTTTTGATACATATCTCACTTTTTTATGTATCTTATTTGAGTTCTTTTCTTTGATAAATTCATAAAAATATACGTACAATATCAAAGCTTTATCTATTCTTGATTAAAATCAAATTATATATTTTTCTTAATAAGACATAAGTCTATTAGAAGTTGCAGATTATCTACTTCTAAATTGATATTGTTCTTAAAATTTTCTTTATTCTCAAGTCCTACTTTCTACTTATTTTGAAAGATATTAGACATTTAATCTTTTCTATCATGTTATCATGACAAAGCTTGTAGAATTGAAGACTGCAATAGTGCAAATACATAAGCAATTGAGGGAGTTAATACTTGTGATGCATCAACTTAATTTACTACCACAAAGAGTACAAAGATTGCCAAGAAATAAAGATATAGAGAAGGTTTGAAATGCTTTAACATCTATATTAATTTATGTTATTTCTTCTATGGTGGAACATCTTTTAAATGCAAAAAAACCAAGAAATTTCTTATTTGAGAAGTTTGATGGTACAAGATCAAAGTTTTGAATATTTATCAATTAAGTATAACTTGTGATTGAACTCCAATTCTAAAGCTATCCAACTCCAATTCTAAAACTAGTTTATTAAAACATAACTTTTAGATTTTTTTTTTTTTTAGTTTTTTCTTTTTTTAAAAAATCTAATCTAATATTAGATAATTTGGAGGTTTTTTTGGCAAAATCTTGATCTATGCATGGAGAACATGATACAATTTGTATTGCAACCAACAAGATTTGTATACTGCGAGAATGCAATCTATTAGGGATGTCATATGCTTCACAATTTTGACAACTTGTAATTGATATCAAGTCATATGATGTTGTATTCATTAGCTAATTTGTCTATGGATTATAATATAAGGTTAAAAAATTGATTCTAAACTTACCTAATCCTCAAACCTTCATTGATAATAGATGACTTTTACCATTAAAAAAGAATTTTATAGTGTGGATTACTCTTTATTATTATTTTAAGATTACTTTTTCTATCATATTAGTTTTTATCTTTTTATCTTTTAACCTTTTTTTAAATTATTACAATTTTAAATCTTAAAAAAATTCTTTCATTTTATATTTCAATTATTATCTTATAAAGATTGGTGGTAGTTAAATAATTAGATTAAGATTGAAGAAATTTTTTTCTATTATATAGCTCAAAAAATGAAATAAAAAACTTTAGATAAAATTTAGTAATTTAATTTTTTACATTTTGTTACATTTTTTAATTAAAAAAAAAGGTCCTAAAAGTTTTTAAGATAAAGTCAAATATAAGCTTTATTAACATTATAAATTTCTTTACATTTTGAGTTTTTTTTAAAAAAATCTTGTTATATTTATTTAGACCTTGATTTATATCTTTTAGTAATTTTTATTTTTTTAATATATATATTTTAAAGTATGTATCATTTTATTGGAATTAGGATTTGCTTGTTGTTTATAGTTGAGATTTCAATGTATGATTTCAAATGCTTATGTTGATAGTTGATATAACTACATTTTTCAAACCATCTTTTTTTTGAAAACTTATTCTCAAAATATACTTATTAATTTTTTATCCTAAATCTGATATTATAACTTTGGATAAATTTTAATGTGTTTTTGAACTTATAAAATTGTACTTGTAATTTGGTAATTTAATTTGGTATTTTTAGTTGATACTATTTTACAATTTTTTTTAAGTTAGTTAATTGTTACCAAATTTGTATTGTATCATTGACATTTTAAAACCTTGTAATGGATTTTTATAAAAAATTCATGCCATGTCAATAATAGAATTAAGAAAGATTTTAACAAATCATTTATTGGAGTACAAATCTTTTTTGAGGTAGAATAGTATACTTATCTCTAGAAGCTAATATATTCACTTATATATATATATATATATATATATATATATATATATATTTCAAGAAATTTTTAATTTACTTCATTTTAAAAAATGATAATATGCATTCAATCTCTCTAAGCTTTGTTTTCTTTGCTTTATATATGATAATATTGTTTATCCTTAATAAAAATTAATTAATTATAATTCAATTTTTTCTCATATTTTATTCTATTTAATAATTTCATTTTTTTCATTTGTAAAGATATATGTTATTAGGTAATATTATTCCAGAGATAATTTTTTATTATTCAAATTTTATTCTAAATGTTTTGCTACTATTTTTCTGTACCTAAAAATTTCATTTTTTATCAAAGATTTAAAGTGATTTACAAAAATTTGAAACTTAGCATACAAGATGCAGTGTTCAATGTTTTAATAAACACTATACCAATGGTTTGTTAACATCCCAACTAGTTGCAGTGATTACACAGTATGATTGCTTTTACAATTTTATATAACTCATGTCTTGTTTGGTGTATGCTTTTTCGCTAAAGTAAGTATAATCAGTTAACGCCTGAGATAAATACAAGCAAAATACCATCTAAGAATACTTGTGACGGGAGGTAAGCTACAAAACAGATGACTTAAAGTGTGCTTTGAAAATAAAAGCTGAAATTGGACTCAGTTCCAAATTCATCTTGCAGCTTGATTTTGGTGTAACAGTTAAAATGCAAGATTGTGGTCATGATTCCATAATGGGTGCAAATTTCTTTAAAGAAATGGTACCATCAGTCAAGGCGTGATCATTAGGCTGAGATTCAAATATGAAACATACTAAAACATCCAAGAGAGACACTGTGTTGTATCCAATAATATTATCAAGACAATTTCCACAAACTATCTGAACTCATCTCCAGGATCTCCATGGAGCTCACTTCCCTTCTTCACAATAGAGTGTATGAGATCAATGTCTCCCTCATCTAGACCTGTACAAAAACCACATTTTTGATGGGGTCATATTTGTAGTTGTAAACTCTTCAAAGCGATTTTTTTTGAGTTTGAGCTTTAAGAATGAAAGAAAAAATACATCACTCACCTTAAAAAATAGAAGTAGGTTTAGGGAAATTTGTGCAAATCACTGCTAATCTAAGTGCACCAAAGCTGTTTCACAATTTAAAACTTCCTTTGTTGAAAGAAAAGTTGATACTATTTTTATGAAAGCTGAATGATCAACAGCAAAGTACTTAGAATTATGTCATGTTTTCACAGCACCTGGGAATGAATATATAGCCTGGTTACTAGCAATGTGTTGTGACGCCCCAAGCCGAGCACCTACAATAACTGCGGCAACTGCAGGCTTGTCTGCAATATATCTCACAGCCACATTGCTAATGCTAATCCTATGTTTTTTGGCAATCATGCTTAAAACAAGGAGGAGTTCCTGCAAAAATAAAATTTAACCAACTTGAAGCTTGAGCAGTGCTTTCTAATTATATAGGAGATAATGAAAAAACTACACATTAGCAATCAAACTAAACGTTCTAATTATGAAAACTAATTACAATCTAACGACCTACCTGAAATAGAGCCCAACCTCCCCATGCATTTATAATATATTTATATTTGGAGATTGACGGTGTATTGATAGGGTCTGTCCTCAGGGGCTCAGGTTGTCCCAAATATTTTTCTGAAAGAAGGCCGCCCATTAACGTCCTGCACATACTCTTTAGAATGCAGGAAAATTCTATTATTGACCGGTTCAAAGAGACATCTTACAATCTAAGAACCGATCATACTTATACATTACGAAGTAAACAAGCGAGAGAGCTGCCCACCAACTACACTCTTGCCTATCCTTCAAGCACTATTGTTATATTAATGATAATAATACTAATAATAATAATACTAATAATAATAAAATGAAACAAAAAATTCAAGGTCCAGAATGAAGTGTCCGGACGAAGACTGTTGCATGCGACAAATGAACAAAACCCCGGAATCTACACACCCGTAAGCAAGAAGCTTCACATCATGTTGTAAGCACCATGCAATCATTTTCTTCTCGGGCCGTGTATCAATCACAGAGTATGTCACCTGCGTAGCACCACAATCGATTTCAGCAACAATAGGGGTTCAAATGTCATGTTCTTGTGAAGCGCTGATCATACGTGCCAAGTAACGGCATCAGTACGCATGTGTGAATTGCCGAAAGACTAAACTAGCCTGATCTTTTCCGAGCAACAGAAACTTCAAGAAATTACCGCTTGAGAGGACGGTGAGGGTGAATCACTAACTTGATTGGACACTGCTCGGATCCCACAGTCCTCAACTATTTTCGCCATGTGTTCAGTGTCGAAATTTGTTAGTCCCAGCTCCTTGATTTTGCCCTCTTGTTGAAGAGTGTGTAGCCACTTCACAGAAACACAATAACGCTCATCGCTATAATCCCACCTTCAAGAATTGACAAAAACAAAAACAAAAAATTGGGCTTCGCTCTTCAGTATGAGTGCTGGACATACAACGAGTCTAACAAAGATGAAATCATGATCTCAAACTCATTGTCGTCCAGTTAGGTCTTTTGTTTGAAGAAGAAAAAAACTGGAATTTATGGAAATGGAGATTAGCAGAGAAAAGTCCCAAGACATCTAAACCGTGAGTATGTTGTCGTTCAGTTGGCAAGCTCTTCGACAACGTACCAATGGAACTGGACCATGTCCAAGGTGGCCACTCTCATTCGATTCCGAGACCGATCTATAATAGCTTCCACCACAAGCCGAGTGTCTGCACCAGTATTGCCTACACCACCAGCAAGGTTAATTTTACATGAATATTAGCCAGAAGTGAGTGCCATATTGAGAAGGATGCAATGACTGGAACAGTGATTCACGTGCAGGCAAACGAACCTCACCGTAGCCAGGGTCAAATTTTGTGAAACCAAGGACTGGCCTGCGGCCCCAATATTCATCATAAAACCTGCCATAAATATCTTCAGCAGGTCCATCTGCAGAATGGAAAGAAAATATTGACTGTAGAGCAAAAGTGAGGGCTTCGTGAAATAAAGACCCTGCACTAAACTTCGCTGTGGGTATGTCAGCCTCGCATTATGCTCATATACATTCTGACACCGCTAAATGGGATACTAAGGCCTGAAGTTATTGGAATCTCCAAAAGCCAGAGACTCACATGTATCGGCCACGTCAAAAACTCCAAGCCCGGCAAAAGCATAGAGTTTCATGTCATGCACCGATTTTTCAATATCAATAGGTCTGTGTGCTCCAGTCACCTGGTGCATTCCTGTCCAAAAAGCACGCTATTTCAAAAACAGATACTCTACTGTTGGCCGATTCTTCACATCTACGTCACGTTACTTTCGAAGTATTTGTTAATGATAGAAACAAGAATTTTCAAGCTCGTCCTCTATATGTTCCTATCATGACATAGATTCAAATGAGGATAGCAGGCCTTCAAAGTTTGAGGCTTCAAATGCGAGTTTCAGTAAAGTGCGTAGTGGCTTTCGACATAATGTAGTTCCATTCCTTGGGATACATATTTGACGACTTCTACGTCTGATGTCACAAATCTGAAAAGGGTGGTCCAAGGGACAGCAAACATGGAACAAAGAAGGTAATTTAATTTATGAGTTCTCCTTTCATAGCCTGCTCATTGCTAAAATTTGAGACCACCCATTGTTCATCCCGACTCGAAACCTAATAATTGGACAAGAGAGCCTTCCCCGTTTATCGATCAATGACCTAAGCCATGAGTAGTTAAAACAATTCTGTGCAAGAAGCACCACCCGTGATGATGGCCGGAATTTCAAAGCAGCCAAGCTTCCGGAGAGGAATGCAGCTGCCATCATTTTTTATACACTTCGTCACTTCTATTCCTGGACTAACAAGTGGGATTGTCATTTCAGGTTCTCGGTGAGTGAGCGTCTCCTCTGTGTGCCAAGAAAGCTTCGAACTACCATAGTTTCTATCTTTTTCGTCTAATGTCATTGAACTCATTTTTTTCATGTTACTCATGTCCGATAGGTCCATTTCACACAAATTCTTCATATTCCTGTCATACAATCCAGAATCAGAATAATCCATCGATCCTACACGAAAACTACCCACAAGTCCCCAACATCGAACGAATCTGGATCTGGGTTAAAGATTTTCACGCCTAATTCTGTGATTATGACACAAGTCATAGCGAGGTAACAGGAGGGAAATGATATGAGTTTGTCACTACAGGATCATGCTACCCAGTAGATCATAGTCGTGAGAGACAACCATTCGTGTAATTCCGTCGATTACGGATGCGCCGTTACAGCATCTCCGTGAAGGGACATAGGCCAAATTGTTGTCCGCGTTGACGTGTACAATGCACAACTTCCCACGTGGAAAACATGTTCACATCGAATGATATTCCCAACAATGTACGCGTATCCCACATCGCAGCCCATGATTAAGCGGGACAGGACATATTGAGTGGGAAACCAAATGGCAGGATGCCCTTATTCGGTTACAGCAAATTTCGGACTGAAGCCATGCCACTAATCGGACCCATTCTTCTCGCATTTTTACTTCTCATGGCATGTCACTGTCCAAGGGCCAGGAATCATGTCAACAAAGGCTTCAGACCGAGGGGATTCCCACCAAGAATTCCGCGATCAGCACCTGCTTCAAGTTGCCGAAGCCCAGCACTCGCACGTAGCACTGAGGGAACGCGCTCGTGCACTCCTGGATCTCCTTCAACACTTGCGACGTGTCGTTGCATCCGAACATGGGCAACTTCCACATTGTCGTAACGCCATCGTATTACCCGAGATTGGAGTTAAGGGTTCGGGAGACGGTGCCTACGGGATCGAATTCCAGGCAGGGGATCAGCTTCTACCGGATCTTGCACTCCACCTGCTTGGCAATGTCGTCCTCGGACAGAGCCGGCAAGTACGAGAGCATCTCGAACTTTACATTATCGATGGGGCTTTACACCTGCATGCATTGCACGCAGCTGCCGTTCGGAATGGAGCTGCTCCAGCTCTACGACTTACGGGAGAAAAAGATGAGGCTCTTGAGACCGGAGGAAGCCTTCACGGAGGACGAAGACTCGGCAAACGCCGCCGGCGTCACGGCAGCTGAGGCAGCAAAAGCGGACGCCATAGCTGCGTGGCTGCACTACGAACACTGAGGATCTCCTTAAACTCAACGGCGACGGCGACGGCGATGGTGACGAACGAAACTGTCGGCTCTCTTGGAACATTTTTGTACCGTCGCTTTCCTATCTAGAGCTCATGGAGATATTTCTGCAGTGTATCTACCGTTAACATTATCCTAACCATTATCTACAACTAGCTTTGGGTCCACATGATGTTTTGCGATTGTTTCATGGTTAGTCCGACATTTGTGATCACAAATCGATGATGGTGGTTAAACTAATGGTGGATGCTGTAATTCATTCAAAGAGTTGTGAGTAATGGAGATAACAAGAAAATTTGTCTTTAAATTATCTCTTTAAGTAAGAGTACATTTAGATTTGCACGTTCTATTATATTTGTTCAGGTGAGAAAGGGAATTCATTCTTTGTAAGAATTGGGAAACTCTGATGTGGAGTAAATTTTAACATGATGCCATCAATAACTGTTTGTCTGAATAGTTCACCTGAATACGCAAAACAGTTGCTTACATGGTAAAACATATCCCCATATTATGGTACTTTCCACTTTCAACGTAACAATATATTATTACATGTAAAGTAAACATGAACTAAACAGATACTAATCATGCTTGAGTACACGTGTGAGTTACCTTCACGGATCCATTTAATGGTACTGCTCTAGCCGACTCCTCGTCAGCAGGGAAAGGTGAGAGGAGCTGGAGTCCATGTCAGCGTAATGAGGATCTGGTTTCGCCAGGTGTCAGTCGTTGACTCGTCTCACCCCTATAAGTGAGACACTTTCCATGAAGACTGGCAGTACGAGACCGCCTTCCTCACCAAACTAGTGCCGTAGTCGCGTTGCTCGCGGGCCTCGGTTCCTCCGGCGTCGAGCCAATTGTTGCCACCTCTCGCTTCATAGCCACTGCTTCAGGGTCGTGTCCGATTCCACTCTAGGCGTCGGACCCAGTTACCTTTTATCCTATATACCCACTAAATAAGTCATGAAGATCTACGACTGCGAGACCATTCAGAGTGGGGAGTGTGGTTGGGCAGTGCGTAGCGACAAACATGAGCATGGGAATCGTCACTAGTTTCTTAATTTAATCGCAACCACTGCTCGTGAAGGGGTTAAGCTCAATTGGGTTTCAGGTAGCTGATCCTTTGCGGTGCCACCATGAATATCTTGATAAAGGGGGGGAGTTAGTTCATGCACTGTAGCTTACTTGTACCGGGTGGAATCAGCGAAATTCGGGAGGTATGTGTGGATGTTTGTGCACAATTTGCGGGGGTGGCTGGTTCATGGAGATACGATGAGGGAGGATGTGTGATGCACAAGTGCTTTGCTGCGGAATACGTGGATTCGGTTGGATTTGATGAGATGAGTTGTGCTTGTTTATTGACCCAGTGGAGTTGTGATGATTGTAGTTGTTCAGATGAGGGGCATTGCGATGGCAGATAAGGATTTGATGTTTGAGGTTGTGAAGAGCATGTATAGGTTCCTGTTCTTGGACAGTTGTCTTACTCGGGCTGAGACTCTAGTGTCCAGAGGAATCGGAGTGAGAACTGGCAGTATTGAGGTGAATTAATGTTCCTTGCAGGCGGTCTAGCGTTCGTTGGCACCATGGCGTATGTCCACAAGGTCCCACCTGGTGAGTCGTTGGAATTTGTCAATGAGGCTTCCCCGGGGTCAAGTCAGGATGACACAGTGTTGGAGAGTGGAGGAGAAAGCAAGCAAGACCAGTTCGTACAGAAGAGTTTTACAGGCGAGACAGGAGGTGGTGAAGCAGTTATATCTGATGCACCTCAATCAGGTGGTGGTGCGCCAGAAATGCCTGTCAAGGAAGATTCTAAGCCGAAAGAAGAAGGTGGTCAACCAGAAACCCTCGTCGGAAAAGGGTTGGAGTCGATCGGTGACTTGGTGGTGGATACATTGCAGCCCGTAGCAACAGTCGTTGGAAGGGTGGCCCAAGCACCAACGGTATGTTCAACCCACAAAAGTGTGTGACTTCTGATGTTGCAGGAAGCATCTTGGCTTTGCTTTCCAAGAATGGTGTTATGGAAGTATCTATTTCTGAAGTAGTGAAACGTGTATCTTGCAACCAGGTCATAATGGCAAATTTAGTGGGAGGTTTTGATTCAAAGCCAGAGGAAAAGGACGTAGCAGTGCAGGAAGGTCTGCAAAATGTTAGCTCGCCGAGTTCTCCTCAAACACCACAAGGAGGAGATAAACTGAATGTTTACTCTCCCACTTCCTCCCGCTGGACACGGCTTCTTACCCCCCGCGGAACACCAATCCTAAATCGTATTGAACACCTTGAGCTGCAGGTTGTGCCTCATTGCAGTCGATATCACTTCTTCTCAAATTCTGAAGATTACGAACCAAGCCAATCTCAATCGAGTTCGAAAATTCCTTTGGATTCAAATCATGGCGATTGAGAGTTGTGTTGGAAGCCGTTTGAAGAATGTCGTTACTCAAATTTCTGTGTGTTTGCTATTCAGATGTCTATGTTGGAAGAGAAGTACAATCCTAAGACAATTTCGACGGAACACAACTTGTCACCAAATTCGCAGCTGGTTACTCCTCGAACCCGAGAGAGGCTTCGCACTGCGCGGTCCCTGCTGCGAGAAACGGAGTCAAAGGGCACATTGGTTGAGCGAGTTTCTTTTCTCGAGGCTCGTTTAACTGAGGTAAATCAGAGTCTTTCTACACCCTTGTAATGTTGAAGGTTACTGGCAGTTTTGTGAGGATTATAAATGACAAGTTAGGGTGATTCCGTTTCTGATATTCATGACCTTTAATGTATGTTTGTTCAGCACATGGAAAGTATTGAGAGGACTCTTTCATGTATCGATTCCAAATTGGCTGGAGTTGATTCCAAATTGAAGCATGAGCAATTGGAACTTCCAGCTTCTATACAAGAAAATCATGGTGACAAGCGTGACACTGCTCTTGCGTCTTTCGATCCCTCACATCTGGCATCTACGCAGCAAGGATCTAAGGAAGCACTTGTGAAAGATTCTTCAGTAGCTGTACCGAGTGGCACATCGTTAGAACCTATACATAAGGAAGATATTCCCAGCTCACTTGAATCTTCGGAACTGGGATTGCCATCCACGCTTAAGGAACCAAGGGAAGCAGTTGCAAAGGGGTCTTCGGCAGCAGTTCCAAGGCCAGAATCTGTACAGGAGGATGACGCCGAAAAGAGTGGTGCGGCAAATGTATCTGCAGTCTCACAATCGACATCCAGAGTGGAGGAGCCTCAGAACGCCCCAGGCGGATCTGTAAAGGAGGCCAAGTCTTCTTCATTGCCTACACAAAATGAAGCTGAGTATAAATTAGCTGAGGATGTCGAAGCAACTGCTAAGGTAAGATGTCTACCAGAGTGCATATTTGGTTGTTATTAATCACGTTACGCAGATTACAATACCTTAGCTATAAGAACTATCAAGTACTTGAAAACGTGACTAAGCTATCAAGCAGGTGTTGCTTTGAACGGAACGGAACAAAATGAAGGGAATTTACTGTGTTCAGTTTAAAGTGTCAGGATTTGCTTGTTCGAAGGAATATGCGCCGAGGCTATTTGCCTCGACCCGAACGTGGCAGCACCAACGCAAGATTGTTCGTTAAGACTATGCTGTGTTAATTAGCAAGCAGAAATTCTTCGTCCTGGAGTAGTGCTTTTGATCGTGTTTGAAACAACGGTGGCGTTTTACACGTGCTATGCCACCCCCCAAAGTTTGCAGTTTAAATGTGAACGATGAAGAAATCATTTACAGAATGTTTTCGTGTTTGGGATTTATCTTAGACTTTTTGCAGAACCTTCGACAACCTTGGCACTCAGTCGAAGGATATTTCCTTATGCGATGTGTACGGTCTGCGATGTCTATAGGCACCTGAAATACGACCAAGCGACGTTGTGGAGCCGAAGCCGTTCGGAACAAAAGAGAAAAGCTCCAAGAAAGAGAAGATACACGATGGAAGCAAGATTGTGGAAGGTCAGAGCAGAGATAACTCGTTGGTTCGAGCAATGGAAAAGGACAGGCATCCTTTCAAGCATTTGCGCGACAGGTTCCGACGTGCTTTCAGAACCAAAAATGATTCATGATTCTTCAACACCTCGCCAGTCATTTAGTTCTCCTCTCATTCTCGGACTTTCCCACCATGCTACAAGAACTCATTATTCTCTTGCCATGGTGGTAGTCTACTTCAATGCAACACATATGAGTTTTCCTTTTCGGGCCGTGTTTTTTGGGGATTGAGAAGGAATCTTGTATAGGTCAGACTTATTTGTATCTAACTGTAATATGTTGAAGGGATGTATATTCTTGAATCTAAGAATTTCTGATTAAAGTATGAGACTTTATGAGGCTTTGCCGCAGATTCTTTGTAATGAATAAAGATAGCTGTCACGCACAGTTAGCAAACCTCCATTGATCTCCAACAGTGAAACTATTAGAGCTGAAACACAGTTGCAGTCATATCTGTTCTGAATATTTATTGAAATTAAAGCATGAATACACATATTCTAAACATGACCAAATAACCTTGAAAATGTGGTTACGGCTAAGTGAAAATGTGCACCTTCACTAAAAGCATCAGAATTCGTGACAAATGTCCTCATTGACAGCCTGCCGTTGTTTATAATTGAAGGTAAAGGTCTGCTTACTTGCTCTTCTTATTAATATTCTTCTTATTAATACTCTACCTCAACATCAATGATCTACAGTAAGTAGTTACCAGATTGTCTATGATAATCCAGCCCGGCTCTTCTCAAGATTAGTTGCGTTTTGCTTGCGAGAGCATTCGAGGATAGTTTGCTCTGCCACAACAAAGTAAGTTGCTATAGTGGCTGCACACGCCACACAGGAAGACATGAGGTACTCATTCACACCCATATATATATATATATATATATATATGCATATCACCATGATACACGCAATTATTCAACATTTTGGTGGGATTAAAAATTAAAATAACATAAGATACAACATAAAATAAGAAATTTAATGGCATAGGCCAGCATCCAAGTCATAATCCGGAACATTAAGCTACTCTCTAGAGCCTCATAAACACCGGATGAATCCCTCACCTCCGGAGATGATCAGGGCTTGTCCCGTGTAGTTGACATTCGCCTTGACCCATGGAACCATCCGAACAGCCGTAAGCTGGTTTCATGATGCATGGAAACATCACACGTTAGTGCGACTCCGAAACCTTTCCATCCTTCCACCAAACTTATTTAACATTGAAGGCTACAACGCTGCATCTCACAGCCATTCTTTCCAAGTTGAAGGAAAAGCGGAAAAAGCAACGCTCTCATTTGATGTAGAAGCTAGACATCCAGGATCTCTTAACTAAACTCCAGTAACCTAACACGCCCCAATGAAGAAATGTAGAGTCAGGGAGAGATTACCGTTGGAATGGCAGTGGCAAGACATGCAACAAAAGCCGCCTTCAAACCCTCCTTCATACCCTCTACACAAAGTCAATCAAAACTTCACTACTGAACTCAATCTTTCAGTACCAGGGTATTCGATGCGTTATCAGTTGGTTCTGGATAGCTAAACGCAGTGGGACGCATCAGAAACTCCACTCATAAATTAACGTGATTTCTACTCCACAAACGGTAGCGCACACGGGTGTGGGCATGCTATGGGTTACTTGAATCCCAGCGAACAACATCGTGCAGCCAATATTCAAATCTGAGAAGGATACCTGATATCCCAACTATTATTCAAAACAATGAATACAGCATACCATCAGTACAAGCCTTCGCCCTCGCACGCTTTTCTTCGGCAATCAGTTTCACAGCTTCCCGGTCCTTGGTGTCCTTGCCTTCAACAGGAGAGGGGATAAAAAAAGATGCAGTAGTTGACTCACGCTCTTGCAAAGCAAATTCCGCTCTCTCCTGTCTCCACCATCCCTTCAGATCACCTGCCATCTTCACAAGAAATCAACATTCAAATCACTAGCAAGCGTGTTGCATCCGATTGCGCCCTACGAAGACTTGCCAAAAACGAATTGTGACTGATTCCAATTTCGGTTACTAACTCATACTGCTCTTTTAACTTCGACAGAGCAACTAGTCCGACGAAAGCATCAACACGACGCTTCGAAAACTTTCTAAATCCAAAAGTCACATTGAACCCCCGTTAATGCTTCAGCCAAATTAACCACTCAAGTTAGAATTTTTAAGCAGATAGTTTGAATTACGAGCAAACGCTAACACTAATCGTCTTGACCTGGTCCAGCAAATTTGCTGATAATTGAACGCAAGTTCCTATCAAACCCGCGAACTAACACACTGAAGCTGAAATCTGGTCCATCCTAGAATGTCCAATTCCTGCACAAGATTGGAGTTCTTCGACATTGCATGAACACCAATCGGACTAACTATACGTCCAACTTAGACACCCACACTCCGCACTCCGCACCCGCTCCGAAACCCACTTCACACCACCTAACGCACGTGCAAATATCACATGAAACGACATGGAATAGTGCGAATGATAAGTACGAGGAAATAATGAAAACCTCGAGACAGTATCCAGTTGAAAACAAAAAGAAAGGGGTGCTGCAAAGTGAAATGCACACATTCCTCCGAAGCACCGAGCAACAAATCACGTCAGCGGAGGAAGGAACACGAAGTGGGGGAATCGGAGGGGGAGCTCGGGCACATGCACTGCAGCTTGGGAGTCGAGCTGGGTGGGGCGAATAATGCGTGCGGGGCGTGTGTGCGAGGCCATGTGTGATGGCTGCTGTGCCGCCGTGGCCGCACCACCTGGGCACCTTCTGCCAGTGCTCTCGCCATTTCTTCAGCTGATGCATCGGAAGTTGCCCCCTCTCACCACAATCTCTCATTCATGCACCGCTCTCCCCGAGTAGTCGCCGATGGAGTGTGAATGTGTGGAATGAGCGTTCATCACAATGAAGTGTTAACTGCACAGTGCCCACATGCACACTTGGAGTATAAAAGTGCGGAATCAGTGTTCCATCCAAATGAAGTATTCTGGTATGCTCAAAATAAAACCAGCATGCCCATTTAATTTGGTCACCCATGTTAGGTCACTTTAAACAAGGCAATTTGGACCCAAGTATCGCATTAAGTCACACTTGATTTTTGTGTGGTGTCACATTTAAAGCCTTGTAGAATCCATAGAGACTTCCTAACTTGCAGAAGGTCTTGTATTTTGCTTTGATCAAGTATTCTTATTTCAATGACTTAAACACATTCTATCCCTCGTAATCAAGAAAAAAAAATTTAATTTGCTGTGAAAGTGTGCAATTGCAATGCTACAATGATGATAGTTGTGATGCCATGCCTTTCATTTTGGTTATAATGAGAACATTGGTAGGAAATACAATTACACCTCCCATGTGATGTATTTTAAGAAGCCATTTTGTCCCAACATATACCAAAAACACATGGAGTTGTAGCATACTAAACACTGGAAGAAATGCTTTAAACTAATTGTTTCTTAAAAAGGATAGTTTTTTCTAATTTTCTTTTTTTCTTTTTTTTTTTGAACAACATTGCTTCTTTGTTTTATCACTTCAGCATTAACTTACGTTTTAGGAGTTCTTGATCTATAATATTATGTATACGTGGACAACACTTTTATTGATGTTATTATTAGCAAGATGTTTTGTTGGTTTGACAATGCACACAATAAGATCACAAAAGAGTGTGTCATTATCATTTTTAAAAACATATTCAATTTTTTAAATGTAATGTTACAAGTTACAAATTTAAAGACATCAACAATGTTGTGAATGTCAAGACCACACAGCATTGCATTAATTTAGCAAATCATGCTTGAATTAATCATATTGTGAATTATCATAAAATCAAGACATTTTTTTAGATAGCTTTGCAAACTTTGACAATGAAATAAATATTGAACTAGCTTAGTTTCAATAGTTTTGTACTTAAAAACAAGCTAATTAACTATATTTTTTTTGTATATACACTAAGTCCTTAAACAATGCTACAATCGTTTGCTCGATTTTATTTTATTTTTAATTATTGCAATGAATATATCTATTTACATAATCATGATCTACTTGGAATTTTTTTTATTGTATTAAAATTCTGAGATTCTTGCAATTCTAATATATAATTGGAATCTCAGAAAAAATATATATTTACATGCTTGTAGAGCTTTGGATATTCTTATTTATATGTAAAAAAAAATAATAATTTAATTATTTATATAGAAAGTTTAAGGTGATAGGAAAAATTTTAAATATCATGATTTAGTTTAAATAATGTATTTTTTTAGACTATTACCATTTTTAATGTAATCTATATCAACTTGGTATTAATATATAAACTTCTACTTATTTTTTTTTTTTAAAAGTTCTACCCTAATTTTACTTGTAAATACATTAAAATCTTATGAAGAACATAAACATCAAGGCCAAGACAATCAATAGTATTTATCTCTATTTTTTGTTATTAAAAAAAATAATTCAAGTGTATAAATATAAAAAAAACTTGTAAAGGTAAATTATATTTATGTATCAATAAAAAAAAATAAAAAAAAATAAAAACCATAGTAAAAATTGTCAAATACAAAGAAATTAAAGACGCTTGAATCAAGTTTTATACATATTAAACAAATTAAGAAGGATAAAGATTACCTTATTTTTATCTTGTTATACATTTGCTTCTAAGATATATATATATATATATATATATATATATATATATATGGAAGCCTTTCATAAACTATAATGCTTGTGGTTCAAGTGTTCAGAAAAATATAAGTAATTTTCTTTGAAAAAAAAAAAATAATTATAAATTTCTAGATAAAAACTAAATATTGATATTTCCAAATTACATAGAATTTATAAGATGATTTAATCTTGTTTCACATATGATTTTTTAATTAAAAAAACCACACTTATTCTTAATGCAATAATTATGTCATAAACCAATTTAAAGTGGCTTTGCTATAATTCAAGGGTAATGAGAATTTAACAAAAAAAAAAAAAAATAAGAAGAGACTATCTAAAGATAAGAGTAACCTACATGAAATTGCAATGTTTTAAAAATAAATCAGTTCATGATTAAATAATGAGGGAAATTAGTTAATTGTAGCCACTACCACCATCCAAATTCAAGAATGGGATATTGAGTACTTTTCTTGTTATATGATAGACTATTTTTGGTATTTAATTTTAATCTAAAAATAAATAAATTTAATATAAAAAAGTATTTTTTTGTTTACATGTTGCTTGTGTACTAATTTAAATTAAAAAATTTGAATAAAAAATAAAAACCTCTCATGTATACTTAATGTACAATGGATAATAATGTACTAGTTTTTTTTTTTATATATATATTTAGGTTTAATTAAGAAGTTTATTTGTTAAACCTTATATGTAATGTTAGAAAAAGCATCCATAGACTTGTATCTACAAAAGATAAGTGTTTGTAATAATCATTTATTTAAATAAAGAATTTGGTAGATCCAATTGACTTTTTTTTAATATTATACTTACTTGTTTTTGAAGTGCAAGAATGATGAAGGTGATGAATTAAGTATAGATACTGAGACTCAAAATGGTTAAGCAAGCACAAATATTAAGCACTAAGAATGTATGTATATATATATATATATATATTCATTGGTGCTTATATTTAGAAATAAAACCATATTTATGTTGTTATTTTTTCCAATCATATATTTTACAGTATCTACTATATCCTATATTTAAAGAATTTTGGAATAAATATATAAAAAAGAGTATTTTTCTATTATGTTGTTATCTAAGCTGAAAAAAACAACAAATAAAGAAAATGCTATAGATGATAATCTAAAAATAACATGCAATTATGGACAATAAGTTTAGATGTTGTTCTACCTAAATACAATATATTTTATTTAGATTCATGACCGAATATTAAAAACAAATTAAAAATAAAATGGTTTATCAGATTTAATTAAAAAAAAAAGGAACCAAAAAATATGCCCATGTTTTAAATCTTAAATTTAAAAAGAAAACACCACCTAAAGTCTTGTTAAACATATTTATTTTAATTAGACAAATTTATACTTAACATATGAATGATTAAAATCTTAGTAGTAGAAAATAAATTTCCATAACAGATATTCGTATGTTTTTTATTTTATTTTACAAATGGACTTAAAACTATTTTTTGAAACTGTACGGTCAATATTATAACTATCTTTGAGTGAATATTTACTCTTTTTTTACTTTCTTAGAAAAGAAAACAAACAATCAATATGATATGAGGTCAAAACTTTTAACATATAACATGCATAATGTATTTTTTATTCTAACTTTACAAATAAAAATCTAATATGCCTAAAATAAAAATTACAAGAATATTTATAATTTCTTATAATAACTATCAAATATTTAAAAACTCACTTTGATAACATATATCTTATTTTTGATTATTTTTTCTATCATATTCTTGAATTTATATATATATATATATATATATATATATATATATATATTGATCCATCTAATTTTGTTGATATTATTTTATTTTATGTTGCCTAATTATAAATTTTGAGACACTATAAAAATACAACTAATTACATATTCAATTCCATACCTTTCATTTGATTCTATTATTTAAAAATATAAAGCCATGTATTTTTATACTTAAATATTAATATAGAACAACATTTTTCTTGCTTGGTCTCTCTTATAGCAGTCTTCCTGAATATATTAAAATCTGTTTAAATATTGAACAAGAATAATTTTTTTAAAAGGCAATTGAACTTTATTTGTGTACATTGTATGAAATGGCTTATTGGAAATTGCTTTATTATTCTTTACAGTAATAATTTTATTATTATGATTTTTATTCTATAATATATTGTGTGCCAAAATAATTTCAAAAGAAAAAATTCAATTTTTTTTTTACAACATGCTTTTCAGTTATTTATTTTCTTATATATATACATTTGACAACAAACTCAACCATTAATCAAAAAGCAATTGCAAAGCTCTATACATAAGTTCACACACAGCTCGACGAACAGGTAAAACGAGAATTCATCCAAACGGGGGTGAGGCCTTCATCGTTCTATATAACCGAGTGAGTGAGGCCTTAACCCTAAAACACTACTTGATCTTATCTGAGTGCTCACGAGCGGGCTTCTGCTCTACTTCAGGCCTCGGATCTCGCCCTCGTTGCCGTCACTCCGATTGTTTTCGGTCTGTGCGCTTGGTTGCTTGGGCTGTATGGATCGTGTGCCGCTCGGGGTAGAAACAGGGGCTCGCGTGGTTGTGCACAATGACGCCTGCCCGCTAAGCAAGCTCTGTAATCAAAGAGCCGTGATGCGACCTGCGGGCTACCCCCTCCCTTTCAAATCAGTACTGAGGTCTTATGGTTTTTTGTCTTCGTGCCGTAATAGGAGGTCTGTTTGACGGACTTGTGATGAATGGCTTGATTTGGTTAATGAGTAGTTGTTTATGCTTCTTTGTAGTGTAGGGTTTGGTGATTAGTTTACTCCACTTGGTTTGTGTGTACCTGGAAGTCGCCTGGTATATGACGTAGTCTATGTCCAGTAATCGGTTTATTTCTTCTGTGTCCAGCATGTGGTTGAAGGCGATGATGGAGCTTGTATTTTTGACTTTGTGAGGAAGTGTTAAGTTTTGGGGTCTCTCTTGTGAACCTGTACCCTCACCATCGTGCTGCAGGTATGGGGTAGCAAGGTTGAAGTCGCCTTGTATTTATGTCTTTCTCACTTGTGATGAACCTCTTACTCAGCTGAGCCTTTGGAGGATTGTGTTACAATATATTCTCAAGATAATTTGTTATCAAATGTAGTAGCTGATAATTCCGTGTCATTTGTTACAGTCTGAGAAGGAATGTGATGATATTTGCAGGTACTGCCTACACGGCTTTTTCATCAGTATCATGTTGGTGCCATCATAGCTCATGGCTGGCTTACCATAGTCGCCGGGCAATGAAAGTGTACTCTGATATTGGCGGTCAACTGGGGAAATATCACTAGATTATCTGATTCCTTTCGCGTGAGCGTCATGTCAAATATAGCTTTTTAATGTAGCATCGTAAAATAACGCAGCTGAAGCTATTGGCTTAACTTGATGATAACTTGTGCATTGCTCAAATTTAATTTGGAAAAAGATTCTCATAATCACTATGCTCTATCGAGTAGTATGCAGATCAGCTTGGTAAATGAAAATATACACAAACTGCCACTTTGTTATCCAAACAAAAATTTGAATGGAGAATAATTAATGAATCTTCAAAAATTTTTAGTCCTACACAAATGCGAATTATTAAACCTACAAAGTCATGCTTTTATAATTACTTGCCGTAGTAAAATTTATGATGAAATGACAATTATATTTCCCAATTTCCTTCAAAATAATCAACGGGCATGTAACAATCATTTGCATAGTGAACACATGTCCCTACTCACACATGCACATCAATGTAGTAAGACAGTAAAGCAAAAGATGATGAGAACACATTTTTCTACTTGAGCTGGTGTAAGATGCACCGAAAAATGGTAAAAATGTTGATTCACAAATACTTGACAAATGTGTACATTTCAGCCAATGTCGAAGCAACGTCAAGATGAATATTTACAAAAATCAATGATATGTACGACCGTTTTCCAGACAATACATTATCTAACAATGCCATGATCAATTACTTTTTTTTATTCAACCCACTGTTCCCATGTTAGAGCAATCTCTCCTTCCTCACATAACTTGCAGCTTTGAAAACATCAACGACATGCCATAGTTTGCTGGTTCATTGAAATATCAAACGACCAATTGAAGAGGAAATCCGCTCTCGTCAAGTTTGTCCTCTGAAAAGCCTACACCAGCGGAGGAAGTTGGCTTGATCTCAAATACTGCTTCAGCAACTTCTTGTCTTCGTTAATCCTTGTCTTCTCTGCTTTGTTCTTAGTCTTTACTTTCCTCTTCTCTTCAAGTACCCATTGCAGCATCTGCCGCTGCTCGTCTTCAGAAATGGGCACTTTTGAAGGTGGTGCCCACTGTGGAGCTTCGTCAGCTGCAACGGCAGACGCCACAACTGCCACAGGTACCTGCTCAGGGACGGCTTTCTCTTTCTCAGGCTCAGCTGCTGTGTTATGCAGCTGAGCATCAAGAACTGGCCTCGGACGAGACAAGACATAACCTGCACAACAAACACACAGACATTTCAACAATCGGAAACTTCAATTGCCACAGATGAAATCAGATCTCGACATCTACTCCAAAGAACGGGGTTGAGACCAAGACACCGCATACATACGCACTTTCTCGACTCTGCACATATATTCTGTATTAGCAGTGGACCCAAAATCTAAAACACCTCTAATTAAAACGTGAAAAATGTTTGAAAATTTGGATATTCTGCTAAATATAATAAAAAAGAGATCAAAGTGACAGGAACATCCAGCTGTAAAATTCTTCTTTCAAAACATTGAACACAAAACAAGTAGTATATGACGAAAGTGAAAGCATATTGCGATATGAATGGCTCCTATTTGGAAAAGTGAAAAATAGCTCGACCTTTCCCGAAACTAGAATCGGTCAACGTCAAAACAAGTATTACGTTACAGAGAACTAAGACCGGATACCCTAACAACTCTCGCAGGTCCATAGGATATCTAGGAGTCATGAACTTGAGACGCAGCTAGATCGCATTCCTGCATTACCATATCAAACGTGACGAATCATACCTGCTGCAACTCCTGAAAAATTCACAACCCCGGTACTCCAAGATACAAAAAAAAAAAAAAAAAAAAAAAAAAAAAGAAGAAAAAGAAAAAAGAAAAACTAGGTACACAGGAATTCACTAATCTCTGTGTAGAAAAAATTCGAAACAACCCACAAGTTCTATCCCCCCAATAAGCAATCCAGTCGAACATTGAATCCATTCCGCAAAAAATGTGAATAATTTCAAAGACAAAACCAGAACACAGCAGGAGAGCACAAACCTCCTATCCCGAGATTGACGAGCAAAAGAGCTCCCACGCCTGCTCTGTACCGATACCACAGCGGCGGCTTCAAAGGGGCCGACGGAACAGCTCCAGCAGGCTGCTGCGCTGTCGCCCTGGCACTGGAGTCTCCCATCACACCGCCGTGAATTCAATGCTCACTTATTCAAACACCAAATCTACAGAGGAAATTGCGAAAAAGTCAGAGTGGTGATGACCAGAAGGAAAACCCCAGCTACGGACGCACCGAGGGCACACGGAAACCCTGTCTAGGGCTTGTGCGTGAGCAGCTCAGGTGGGACAGAATCTACACAACAGTCCGGTCCGAGCTCGTATTGGTTTTCTTGCAGGTTACGGACTGCGATCGTGTGAGGATTCTATCGCGGGACGGCGATCCCGCGCATACGGCAGCGGAGACGTCGCGGCTGGCGCAGGCTCGTCACTCGCGTGCTCGTCATGGCGCCGCGAGGGGTTTCCCCTTCAAGCTGAGCTGGCGCCGGGAATTTGCTGACGTGGAAACCAGAAGTTGATGAATTCTGGGAAATATCATTCATCCGTTTCATCCTTGAGTTCCCACGTCCATTCTCATGTGGCAGTTCCCTTGGAAGCCCAAACATTGCTTTACTTATGAGATTCAACAAAATGAGTACTTTTACTATTTATCATTTTATACTATCCTTAGGAGTTTAGTCCATGAAACAATGGAAACTAATCCTGGATAAATTTTTGAAAGTTGTGGTCAAAGTAAGTCCCACAAACTGCAGAAAACAAGCCGAAGGTGCATGCCCTCTCACTGCAGAAAACTCGGCATCTATTCGCTACACAAAACGGCAATTTGGCACCAATATGTTCAGTCTCTATGGTTTGTTATATTGGTGACATGATCTCGGTGTGAGTGACACTAATCTTGGCGTTTGCAGATGGAGAAAAATACAGTAGAATTGATTGTAACGAGGAGATTGAAACCCACCTTACTCATACCAGTGTAGTCGTAATGGCGAGCATAGGCACTAGAACCAGCTACTATCAGTTTTGGCCTGAAAAGAAATGCATTTTTCTCCAACTGAACGTAAATGTTATTTTTTTCAATAACTGATGCACAATTTCATCATGGATTGAGGAAAACAAGACGAGTAAGCATTGCTGCATTTAATATTTAAAAGTTAACCCCCAAAAAATTAGAGGATACAAAGACGTCCATTGAGAAGATGAAATAGCTGCATGAAGACGATTTTCAAAAACCCCAATCAATAAACTTCAACGATTACCGTATCACAGTCAAAGTAACGGGTTGACTCGTCTAGTCTCCAGGGCATGGTCTCAAAGGAAATTGAAACAGCCAAGGTTTTCTTTGTATCCGTAGGTTGCCATGAAATCCAGAGCCAATTAGTAAATGCATGGCAATTCGAGAAATTTAAAGCTACTAACAAGCACAAAAATAGCTGAACAAATTCTGTGGCGCTGTGAAGTCAGTAATGAAAAGTAGCATGCAAAGAGCTTTGTCAGCAGTCACACCCGGGACCCACGAGATATATTACCACCATGGGGAAGATTTAAAACTATTATGCGCTCATGTGGCTTCAAGAGAGCTGTGTTAACCTGAAAGTTGGCTGGTGATCCAGCGAGGGGCTGCAAATTCATTGTTCAACAGATGTTTCATATTAGTGTAGTATGCTACACTAAATAAGGCAGGAACAATTTCGAGGTCAGAGACACAGTCTAATAGCTTAAGGTTTGTTCAAATACAGATAAAAGAAGCAAACTCCTTTGTCTAGGTCAAGGAGGAAAGCTGCGGGAGCACTGTTTTGACACTACCTTTCTGCCTTATCAATAAATCTGCATTTGTATAGAGAAGTCAGTACGACATAATAAATGGAAAAATTACATCCAATGTCGCAGTGAAGATGTGTTGAAGAAAATCGATTAAAGACGAGAAGGGGAGAAGACGCATTCGTTACCACCGTACTAGAGAGCACCAGGATATCCTTCACTGTACTTATTGGTCATGACGGAACCTACTGCCTGCATAACTGAAACAGACGTGAAATTCTCTGATGGGATCAACTCGAGGCCCTGTCAATCGTGACACGAGTGGAGGAAGATACAACATCGTCAAGCCCTAAAAAAGGCAATGCAAGCATCAAACACCACTTGATATTCTGACATAAACATAATGGAAACAGTGCTAGAAATCATACCTTCCATTGAAGATTTTTCTCGTGTTCAATGATGTCAGTAATTTCGGGATCGACCTAAACGATATTGACATTGAGCTGCTTCGGCCACTGTTGCATGCATGGTGCAAAAGTAAGCGTCACAGAAATCCATATTCCACGGTGCATATTAAAAGATAACATTCATGTTGTTCATGTAAAATTAATGTAGAAACTTATTGCCAATCCTTACATGAATGTTGGTCCTCTCATCAAAATTTTCTATTGGTCGAACTACTGGTTCTTTCATTGCCAACCCTCGAATTGTATCAAAATTGCTCAAACTGTGGACGAGAGGACAAACTTGCTGCGGCGAGTCATGAGACCCACATCGAGGACGGCGCCTATGAGCGAGAAACCTCTCTCGTCTAACTCAGCTGAACGCTAAATCTATTAGATTATTACTGAATTGCAAGCGTCTTACAGCTAGGTTCTCTAAGGCGCCTCCAAGTGAACTGTAACAATTATGCTAAAGCTTGCCAATTCATTTAAAGCATCTTTATAGCTCAACCCAGAAGAAAAATCTTTTCAAACTTTTATTGCTTGCTTTAAGGACGGATGAAATTGTAGCAATTCAAGACGGCCAACGATTCCAAGCGCCAAGAACGACTGCAAACTACTGGGATCTACCCATAAATTGTTCTGACAAGTACATGTTCCTGTGAAAAAAATCCAACTACTCTTTTGCAGCTCAATAATCAGGTGCAATCAATCCCATACACCACAGCATTATGCAAATTCACGCTCTAAATTTGCGCCACATCGCCCAAGGCTGCAGACCTTCTGAATCTCATTTAACAGGTTCCACAATCTCTAGCTGCAAGGTGTCTCTGCAATCTCTTTGGAAGCATTTCAGCTCACTCCTCACTACATAAAATCATTAAAACAAACAAAGAAAACCAAACCAAACCTAATCAAACAAGCTGTCGCGACAGTAATTGCAATGATGGCACAACAAGCCGAAACATCTCCAAAAGAGAAACGACAGCCAAGGCGTACCGTTGCATGAGATTTGACCAAACTTTGACTCCTGGGAAACAACAGCGCTCTAAAGCACACAAGATTAACAACAAAACCAACGCAATACATCAACACAAATCCCACGTTCCGTTGAATACATGCACACAAAACACCCAAAAAAGAACCAAAACATCTGTACAACGCGAGCATCAAAACAACCCAAAATTCTCCAAAAGACTCACAGCAAAACCACACCCCTCCCATTGCTAGCGAGATGGAAACAGGCGCGGGCAGCGCAGGGGTCAGGCTGCAGTGCTCGGCGAAGCTGCAGGCCCTGCGCTGTGACAAGGCGACGTACAGCTATGGACGTGGCCATGGACGAGGGTCTCGCCACTCCTTGCAGCACGAGCAAACCTCTGATGGATAATAGAACCAGCACTAAAACAAGAAAAACAACAAGACACGGGGAGTGTGAAATGTCTTGTATGTAAATATCCACAAAAAATACAGCTCATTAAGAACAACCAAATTAGCACATACTTTAAGAACTTGATACTGAGTATGTTTTAATGTGCATACTGTTCAAACTTCCTACATTTTTAATTTCTCAAAACATTTCAACATATTTTATCTCAAATAAATCAATACCTCTGCCAAAATATATTTTTACCCATAGAAATTTAAATTCTAAAAGACTTTAAACCTCAACTCCTTTAATCATCGTTATGTATGGGTAATCATCGTTGAGCAACAGATTGGTTGTGAAGTATTTCGCAATTTGGGCGAGTAGGTTGAGGGCTGATTTTGGGGACGGGTTTTCGTGGAGATAGGAAGGAAGCGGGGGTTCCTCATGTTGCGGCAGGGGTTGCTGTTTGTGAAGAGGTCACTTGGAGTTGCTGCGGAATGGAGGATCTTAGATGCAGTTGGTCTGAAGTATCCGCGATTTGCATCTCCCTTGTCGAATGTGGCATCGGATGTCGGGGATAGCGTCGAAGAGCTCCGGGTTTTTATAGTGGTAGGGGAGCCTTCTGGAGATGTCATTGGAAGTCGACTCATGGGGTCCTTGCGCCGCTTGTCACCAAAGCCATTGCGTTTTGCAGGAGTAGGCGGGTAATGAATCTTTAGCATTCGGGGTGTATGCATACTTCTCGCATGCAGTTTCGTTAAGATATATTATGTTCAAGAATCCTACAAGGGATATTCTTTCTTTCTTCTTTTTCCTTTCTCGTAGTCTTTCTCGATGCTTTCATTTCGACAGCAGATTTGGTTATGCAAGCAGAGCTAACATGGAGAAAGAGGGGTTGAATTCTGTATTCAAGATGGAATACATCACTGTCATGGGCGCAGCTGAGCTCTTTCCTCACATGTTTCGCATATGGGTACACCTTCTGCACTTATCGATTTCCATTAGGTCCGAACCATGTGAGCTGAGACGCAGCTGTTTGGTGTTCGCTTAATATTCTAGCCTAATCTTTGGACGCTGCTCATTAGAGTATCTAATATTCTATTGTGGATTTAGTCCGTTAGTGCAACCAATTTTCTTGTCGACATGTTCATCGACTTTTCATGCATGTTGAATGTGCTGTGTCATGGATTAGCGGCGGCTCCGTCAGACTGTTGCAGAAGTTGTAGATTTCGAGCCGCATGTAGTTGTCACAGTGGACGCGAAAGGGTTCTCGTTTCGTGTGCTTCGCAGCCTGACAAGTAATGGTTATAGTATGATTTCGGGTTCGGACACTTCGAGATTGGTACTGCTTGCAAGCATTGTGCCTGTTGATATAGTAAGAGACATGACTTGTACATCATTTTTTATTCCATGTTCGAACAACGAGAAATTTCTTCCTCATATTCCTGTTCTTCTGCATCATGAAATTAATGAGGACCAGCGTGTGCCTTCTGTGGTGCAGCCATATACGAGAAAAAAAACAGAGCAGCCGCCCATCTTGGTGCACTACTTAGCACCATCATACTGGGCATGGAAAATGGGTGATGCGAGGTTGGATAGTATGAAAGAATTTGTTGACCACCTTTTGTGTATCTTGCCCTTCGAAGCTCCGATGTATAAAGCTCATGGACTGGGAGCAACTTTTGTGGGACAACCTGTACTGGAAGACCCCTATATGAATGTACCTGTACGGGCCTTCTGGTACCTAAGCCCTCATGCATGAATTCATCCGATTGCTAGTTCTAGTAAGGCTCCTTAATTTCTAGTTCTTTTTCTTGCACATCATATTTCTGTGTTGTTTTGTTTCAGCTCACGAAGTAATTTTGAGGATGAGTAATGTCATGTGCAGAGTGCAGAGAATAGCGCACCAAGGAACTGGGAGATTCAAGGATTTGGGACCAATTTTCGAGAAAAACATGGTGTGCAGTCTGGTATGCTTTATATTTTCAACAATGTTCTCTTAATAGGCCTTAAATAAATGCCTGCCAGTTCTGGAGAAATTTTGAGTTTAGTCATTTCGAGTGTTCACTGAAGTAGATCTAATCATTTGCAGGGACAAAAATTATTAGTGTGTTGCCTGGGAGTCGCGTTCAAGAAGTGAAGCGCATGCTGCCACTGTTCAGAATCGCCATGCACCGTCTAGCTGAAGATTATCCGCATATCAAAGCTGTCGTACCAACTGCACAAAGTTCTGTTGTCACAAACATGGTACAAGAATCCGTATCCAGATGGGAAATCCCTGCCATAGTTGTTCCAGCTGCTTCAGATCTCGAAAAATATGATGCGTTTGCTGTAAGTTTCAAGCTCTCCTTTCATATTTTTGTCTGTGAAACCGACGGTGTAGTGGCTTAGACCTTTGTATAAATGACTTGCTGCAGCTGTTCATTGTAAATGTAAATGTTTCGTGTGTTGTTTCATTTAAGAACCCTAAACCTGGTGTTTCAAGATTTAGGAGGACCTCATATTTTGCTTCCACAGGTTGTCTAGATTGATTTGAACTTCTGCTGTTTTACAAAGCTTATCTGGTGTGAATATAATCTTATTTTAATGTATTTTCTTTCTTTGCAAGGCAAGCGATGCAGGGTTGTGTACATCGGGAACAGCGAGCATGCAATTGTTGTTAGCAAGGGTTCCAAGTGTGGTGGCGTACCGTGCCAATCCAATTACGGAGTGGCTGATCAAATCACGCACAAAGTTGGAGTACATCTCGCTTTCTAACATCTTATTGAATTCACCCGTAGTTCCGGAAGCTCTTTTTGGCGAATGCACCCTGAGCGACTCGCTTCTCTTCTGAAGTAAGTGGAATTTACCTCAACCTGGGACTTGGAGCCTAGATTCATGCGTTTCTAAACTACACTCCTGATTTTCAAAGTGCTCGTGCTTCTAGATAACTTAAAGAACTCGTAGCTGTTGGATTGTTGAGGTTGAGTACACAAAACAAGAGTTTTGTTTCTGTACAGGCAAGTCCTTGAAGACCACAAGATGCAGGAACTGCAGCGGACTTAGGCAGAGTAGGTGCTGTCTATGTTAGCTCCTCCAAGTAGCAGTTTGCTGCATTCTAGTGGCGCATTGCTTACAGAAGATGAACATAGTGAGAAGCCAAGCATGGCTGCTGCAGCAACTATTAGAGTTTTTTTGATCTCATGAATAGCCCTAAGAAATCACCTATTTCATACTGAGAAATAGCCATTTGAGTCACTTGAATCGTTGTTCGGTCTAACTTGTGCATCTCTTAGCCTGTTTGAGGAGCAAGAAATTTGTGCCGTCACCCCATCATGTTCCTTGTGCTGAGTTGCTTGTAGATAAATCTGCAAGCCTCAAATTTATTCTGTACTTTGTGGAGTAGTGGAAGGCATTTTCTTCAGTGCAGTATTTGAAGATTTGGGTCAAAGAGCTGCTCTGATATGAACATTGGTTTGTTAGGAAAATCGATTAGTAAAAACAAATGTACGAGTTACCATTAAAACATGTTACAAGATGAGATCAAATAATGTAGTGTTACAAGAAACTGCTTTAACTCAGAAATGTAAGAAATCTTAGTAAAATGGTAATCTTTGATATCTTATTGGTAAAAAGAATGAGTTGTCTGTTTCCGAATGAAATCCAGAAATCGGGATGCGAAGGACATATGGGGTGGTGGTGTATTATCATCTAGAACCAAGTCCAAGTTGTCGACGTGTGATATCAATCAAGGATACCATTTGTGTCGATTTCTGTGGTTGGTTCTGCGACGACGTCAACTTTTATTTATTATAGTTCGACGCGGTTCCAGGGCTGTATACAACGTGGTGCACGCGGCTACTTCTAGGGCGGATGCCATGCAGATATATCGGGCAAGGAGCCAGCGCTGGAATTCTGGCGCGAAGGCTGCCACCTCCGACAGCCACGCGTTTTCACAGCCATGCAGTGGATGTCTTCTCGCCTGGCCTGGCCTCACCCTCACTATCTGCCTCCCGCTCGCTGAAAGCTGTGTGTCTTCTCTTCTCGTTTCCACGCATCCTCACATTCTGTGACGTTGCTCTCTTTGGCTAGAGCAGGTGAAACAGGCTTCTGTGCTCTCCGTGCTTCTCCAGAAAGTAGTTAGTTATCTCTAATCACACACCTCTAGTGCCAAAATTCCCAAAGGAAGAAAACTTCTTCAGACAATCAACTATGTGACATCCAACAGCACCTGCTCCGCCATGGTGCTTGAGCTGGTTGATCGAGGAACGAAGCGGAGGATGCACGACGCAGGCGAAGGTTCAAAAATGCTAAAGAGTGATTGAAGAGCTTTCGCGGCTCTTGGGGCAGTTGAAGAAGGACAAGATTTAGGGCACGACCATTCTGTCACAGAACATGACCACTTTCACGACCATTCTGTGAAGGAATTACTGCTGTATTTTCGTTAGTATAGGAAAAGCCTCCTCATTATTGCCCTTTTCACGCGGGACTTGCGGCTCAGTCACGGGACGCCGGCGAGTTTGCTGTTGACGACGGTCTTGCTCCGGAAGTCGAAATTGAGCTCTGCGGTCATTGTTTGTGTTGCAGAGGAGCGAGGGAGATGACCACTGCACATGTAGAGATCATCTCTTAACGATGAGTGGGCTTAATGTGTTATTTCAGATGCAAAATAGCTATCACTTGGTTGAGTTTCAAGGAGCAATTAACGACAACCGCGGGCGAGAGAAGCTAAGCACGGCGGATGTTGTGGACAAGCGTTGCATGGTTTACTGTTCCTATGACACCCATATCCAGTAGCAGGTAACATATGCGATGATGCAGCTTTGTGGGTTGTGGAATAGAGTGATGGTAATTATGTACATAGAGATTGTTTTGATGTGGAGCGTAGAATAAGAAAACAATTTTTTACTTAAGAAAATGATTTTAAGAATAGTTTAATAATAATAATAATAATGTAATCTTGGTGCATATTATATGAGTTAAATTATATGATATTTGTGTTTGTTATCATCATTGAAGTCTTGATTTGTTTAGGATGTTTTATCAAATAGGATATGAACATGTTGGCATGGAATTAAAATTGGGAGTGATTTTAGATTGGAATTCTTTTAGTTTTTGGAATTAGAAA